CCCGGCGTCTGCGGCCGCCTCACCTGGCCTGCGCCTCGTCCAGGCTCTCGTCGGTGATGGCCATGATCTGCTGGAGGATGTCGCCGATGTCCTGCTGGGGCTGCCCCAGCGCCTGCTGCTTGCGCACCGAGTCGGGGTCCCCGACGTCGGTCTGCTGTAGTCCGCTCAGACCGGAGAGACCCGTCAGCATGCGGGTCTGGTCATCCATCTTTCCGAGAGCGGGCTCGCCGTCTTTCTCGGGGAGCGGGGCTGGTGGTGTGTAAAGCCGAGACGGTGGCGGTGGGTTTGTAAATATCGCACTCTCTCTCTCCCTGCACACACGGGGCTCTCGACCCGAGGAAAACTCAATCCGCTCGCTTAGAAAAAGAAATCTCGGACTTGGGAAGAAAAAAACATATATGTATTTACATATACGGGCTCTACAAAACACGGAGTGGAAGTTATTACCGATGCACGCGTTGGCCCATCAAATACGGCAAGTATCCCCTAGTTTCGGAGCGGCAAGAAACAATAACCCGTCTCCGAAACGACAAGAAAAAAAAAACAACAACATAAAAGCTTTAAAAAAAAAACCGAAAAGGCCACACCGACGCCGGGCAGAGCTACATCCAGTCCGGGAGCCGCGGCGATCAGAGAGCCCTGGCGGCGCACGGCATTGTTCCCGACGACGGAGAGCAGCCCGAGACGCAGGATCGCATAGCGCGCTGTCGCGAGGGGTGAAGCCCTGGGCAGAGACGCGCGCACAGACCTCGAGACGCCGTGTCGGCTCGCGGCAGCCAGGAGAAGCGAGAATGGAAGCGACGCAGAACTAGTGGGGGGTTTTTCTCTCGTTTTTTTTTTTTTTGTCCGGAGTTCAAACCCAAGACGAGAGAAACGCACCCCGAGAATTCAGACGGAACGGGTCCGCTCTCCAGGAAAAAAAAACAACACAACAAACAGAAAGAGACGGGGGGGTTGTCGGGAGATCTTCCGAACAGAACAACAGAAGATGGGGAACGTGTAAGAGAAAAATCCCGAGTCTCCAACCTCCCTTTCCGTCCAAAGTCGGGAACACGACCCCGTGCGGCGCTCCCGTCTTTCCTCGCCGCTCCCGCCGTGCGCGACCGGGTCGCCGTGTACCAAACTCCACACTTGGATAATAAACTAGTTGTAAAAACGCGACGCGACCGCAGAGCCCAGCGTGTCGCTCGCGCCTCTCCACTCTCCTCCACGCGCAAACCAACCACCACGGCGGAGGGGGGGGGAGGACCGAGGGAGAGAGGTGGGGGGCGGCAAAAAAATAAAAAAGAGAGAGAGAGAAACTCGATACAAAAGCCCGGTCTGTTCGGGCCCTCCGAGCAGCCGAGGCGAGCTGTCTTGCTGGTGTGCCTTTCTTCTCTCCTCCCCCCCACTCCCCGCACGCCACGGCAGTCTCGCGCACTCAGACTCCGTACTCGCCGTTACGTCATCCGCCGGGGGGGGCTGTGATACCGCAGCCGTCCGCTAGGGGGAGCGCTACCCGTGCAAGGCTGCGTGTATAGGACGTGTGCGAGTACCTCTCGTGGTTCTGCTTTTACACCTTTTTTTTGTGTGTTTTTAGTGTAGTGTAGACGACTCCTGCCCCGCCCCCGCCGCACAAGCACAATATTAATCGCACGGGTGTGGTGCCCCCCGACAGGTCACGAAGCAGTCAGGAGGCCCGTGAGCCGATCGCCTGGACGACCCGCTCTGCTGTATCTATGCGCTCTTTCCCGGCTGCGAGCTCGCTGGGGTCTTTCTTGGACAGCGAGACGCCACGGGCCCGCCCCCCGCTTTGATTGGCAGCTCCGTTGCCATTGGAGACCAGCGGTGTGTGTGCGTGCGCGCGCGCGTGAGTAAGAGTGTGTGGAGGGGGGGAGGGGGCGGGAAGCCGGAGTCTCGAGCCCCGTTCTACCCGCCCACTTCGGCAGTGATTGACTGCTGTGGTTGCCGTGGAGACGGGCTGGGGGAGGGGAGGGAATTTGGAAGTTTAATTTTTAATTTCGCCCGGCCTATTAAAACTGCTCTAACCTCACACACACACACACTGTGATTGACAAGGGGTAGGAGCGGTTGCTAAGAAACAGGTTTGTTTTCTTAACCCCCCCCCCCACACACACACACGGAAAATCTGTTACAGATGATAAAAGAAATAGGGGAAATTCCCAAAACTGACACACAGACATGAAAACTTTGTATTCGGCAATGTATTGCGCACATTTTGCGGTGTCCGAACTGAACTTCGGGAGTTTAAGGTTTTTCAAACGGTAATTAAAATGGCAATTAACAGGCGAGAAGAGGCGGCGAGCGGTCGCCGCGACAGACGGGAGGGTCAGGCTGCTTCTCTGCGGTCCCGTTTGAACTTCTCAATTAACTTAATTGATGTAATTACAGATATAATTACTGTTATTAACATTTTTTCAAGGTCTTGGGAAGCTGACAGCTTTAAGGATGAGCTCGATTCACGCAACAGCGGCCGTGAGATATTTCTGTTTCAGTCGGCACATAGATATG